AAAAAAAAAAAGTCAAGTTTGATGAATTTGTGTATATAGAGAGCCTTGATTCGAATAAGGCGTTTGTAGTTTGGTTGGATTTTTATTTTCTTATGGCTTGAGGGTTGATCGAAAGGGGTATGGATTGATTTTGAGTGGTTTGATTATAATTGGAGGGTGATGAGATGGTGTAGTTCATGTTTTGTAGTTCTAGATGCTCAAGTTTTCGTCACTTTATCCATATTTTTCCTACCCTAACCAAAGAGCCTACACTACAACCAAATAAAAGTCCTTTTTGATTCATGATTTGCATGCACATTGAGTGGTGGAGATAATAGACGATTTGCAAGCTTATGGTAATTCTTTGGCATTGAATTGATTTGAGCGATTATTTTTCCTATATACTTTTGAGAGGGAGAGTATACACTTATCCGGTGAGGTTTGTGGATTGAAGCATTGACCATGATTTTCATGAAGCATTCTTTTTGTTTAAAAATTCCAGAACTTAGTTATATTATTTGCCCGATGCATATTGAGAATGTGTATGATTGACTTTGAGAGTGTGATTGTTTTTCCTTGTGTGTGGTAGGAGTTTGAAGCATTGATCGGGACTATCAATGGTTTAAGTTTGGGGGTTTGTTCATGTGTGATTTTACACCATATTTATTGAGTATCTAGAGCTTAGTCATTGCGTTATTGGTGTATAAATTGCATATTTATGCTTTAATTCTCTATTTGTTGGAAAGGTATTACACGTGCTTGTTTTGTAGATATTTTCACGTATTTTTAGAGCTTGTGGCTATTGGAGGCGCATTGTGAGTACCTAGGACCCCCGATATGATGATGGATTGATGCACGGATGAGAAATATGGAAGAAACGAGTGAAACGGACAAGAACAAGTGTGCTGGGACGTGACACGGACGGTGACACGGGCACCATGCCCGTGTCAGGTGGCCGTGTCACATGAACAGGGGCATTCCGAGGCTTGATACCTGACACGACCCGTGACACGGGCTGTGACACGGGAGTGTCAGGCCGTGTCGCGCGCTGGAACAGAATTTTAATACTTGCCTAATTTGACTAGGAGAGGTTTTTGGACACAAGAGGAAGCATATTTAACCTAGTTTGAGAGGCCAAAAAGAGGGGAACACGTTAGAGAGGCTTGGAAACACACAAGAGGAGCAATTGGAAGGCAAAAGGAGATCCAACTACGAAGGGATCAAGGAGATTGAAAGATCGACGAGATTTCTAGTTTTTCTTTCTTCTTTCCTTTTGAACTATGATTGATCATGTTGATTTTGAATATGTCTATGTATTTGAATTCAAACATGAGTAGCTAAATTTCATTGATTCTAAGACATGGTAGTAGATTAATATGTTGGGATTTTGGATGATTTATCATAGTTGATTGTTTTCTTTTGAACCCTATTCAAATATTTTGTTCTTATTTCATGTTTAGAACTTGATCAATTCTTTTACATGTTTGACAATATTGTTCATAATTCGAGAGATGAGTTCAATATTAGGTCTTTAATATTTGACACAATTTACTTGCTTGAATCGAGAGATTAGTAGGTCGTTGTGAGGATATTAGATCTTTTGTTCTAATTGGAGTTGAATTGCATGTGTTGAGTGGAGACGCTAATATATGTGATTTAATCTACGGTTTTATCGATCTCGAGAGGGACGATAGGCTAAAATTGTGATCATCTTATAGGGTAGATAAAGAAAATAGTTAGTTGTGATAAATTTGAAGGAACCCAACTGTTAATTGAACCCATAGTCTTAGAATCTACCATTCCCATATATTCTTCTTAAGTGTTTTTCTAGTTGTTTTCTTATTCTTGCTTTATTTGCGTTGATTTATTTCGTAGTTTAGTTAATCCATCTCATATTCGGTCATCTAAATAAAATCAACACTATCATAATCTAGTAATTGGTATAATAATTATTTGGTCTCTTGGGATACGACCTTGCTTGCCACTTACTACGAGCGAAGCCGTACACTTGCGGTTGAGCTTTAAAAATATAGGCGAACAAGTATTTGGCGCCGTTGCCGGGGACTAATATAATTAATTATATCAATATTACGATAGATAGTGAAAATTTTAATTTAGATATTTTTTTTTNAAAATTGCGATCATCTTATAGGGTAGATAAAGAAAATAGTTAGTTGTGATAAATTTGAAGGAACCCAACTGTTAATTGAACCCATAGTCTTAGAATCTACCATTCCCATATATTCTTCTTAAGTGTTTTTCTAGTTGTTTTCTTATTCTTGCTTTATTTGCGTTGATTTATTTCGTAGTTTAGTTAATCCATCTCATATTCGGTCATCTAAATAAAATCAACACTATCATAATCTAGTAATTGGTATAATAATTATTTGGTCTCTTGGGATACGACCTTGCTTGCCACTTACTACGAGCGAAGCCGTACACTTGCGGTTGAGCTTTAAAAATATAGGCGAACAGCTATAAGGAAGCTGATCAGCTATCAGCTAACTTATCAGCTAGTTTTACCAAACATAGCCTAAAGCGCAGTTAAATATACATGTTTTATTAATAAAACATTTGAATGCTAAAAATTATATTTTAACTTAATTGACAATGTAATAAATTGAGTCTTGTTTTATGTGGGTAAAACTAAATAAAATATATCATATTCACTCTAATGTATTACATCGAAAGTTAGGTTTGAAATAAAGTACAAATAAATGTATATAAAAAACAAATAAATAATTTTATATGACTTAAATATACCTAATACCCCATAATTAATGAAAATAAATATATTATTTATACTTTTACCTGCAACATCAACTAGAAGTCTAAAACTACTCAATTATAGTTTGTATTGAATAAATAATATAATGAAATTTACCCAGGGTAGAAAGTTAGGTATGAAATAAAGTACAAATAAATGTATATAAGAAATAAGAAAATAATTTTATATGACCTAATATACCTAATATCCCAAAATTAATGAAAATAAAGATATAATTTATATTTTTACCTGCAACATCAACTACAAGTCTAAAACTACTCAACTTTAATTTGTATTGAATAATTAAAAATATAATGATTTTTTTAATAATATAATGAAATTTACCCGAGGAAAAAAAATTATGACATTGCGTTTGCCGGGAGTCGAACCCGGGTCTATTGCTTGGAAGGCAATTATCCTAACCGTTGGACTACAAACGCTTGATGAGTGGACCATTGCCTTTTATTTTTTTATCAGTGATAATTTTGGTGGGATTTGAATTTTTCGAAAAATTTCTATTTGCCGTTCGCAAAGGCAAATTCTATCCAAACAGAACATCGCAAAGGGCACAAAATGAGTAACTGTCCTTTTTCTTGTCGACGGTTGCTGAAGTACAGCGCGTGAGCTGCCAACACACATTCCCATTTTCTGCACAGCATGAAAGCATGGAGCCTAGCCTCTTCATGAATATCTTCTCAAAACGGTGCCGGTAAGCCGCGAGCTAA